TAACAGATTTTTCAAATATGCGCACGAATGGCTGTCATGCATAACATGTTGTTGTTTATGTTTCAGAAAAGTAATGGAATTAATACATTCTATTTTAAAATGAGTTTATTTATGTATCATTTTCTACACTTTCTATCATTTCCATCACCTTTTTTTTTTACTTGACCATCCTAACCACTTTTCTATTTCTCCTCTCTAACAAATAATTTCCCTATACAACACTGTTTTGATTAAACCCTGTAAAACATTCAAATTTTTAAAAGCTATTTATTGTTGAGAGAGAGAGAGAGAGAGAGAGAGAGAGAGAGAGAGAGAGCATATTTTCATGTGTTAAAAACATGCCTCTATGGTGAATTATAAAGCATACACAAATTAAGAGTCACGTGAAAGAAATGTAACTGAAATCATGTGCAAATAAACAGGAAATTAACCAATACATCATCCTGATGCATCTGTAAATATAACATATGTTGATATATACAGATAATTTTACATGTAACATTTGGGAAAATAATTATCAATATTTTTTCTGGAAACTTTAATACAAAAAAGATTATGAGGTTATTTATATAGAATCTAAGTGTTATATGAATCATTTTTATTTCAACAATTCATACTGAGAATCAAAGTTTGTTCAGAAATATTTAATCGTATTGTTTATTAAAGAAAGAAAGTCATTTAATCATTTTTTATTAAGCCTGTTCACAAATCAATGATGTTTTTCAGGCACGCGTAGCTTTGTCTATTTCTGTATTACTGACAAGTATACGAATACTGCGATTTAGATCATAGCATATCTGTATTGTCTCTGTCCACCCAGCTGCAATGAGTACTGGCTAACACTGGGTGGGGGGGGGGGGGTAAACTTGCGATGGACTGGTGTCCCATCCAGGGGGGGGGGTCAATGACTCATCCGCTTGGCACAACAGAAACGTGGTATTGGCACCATCCTCATGACTCGGAGTAGGATTTATTCAAGATCATGGCATATTCGTACAATACGATTTAATTCACTGAGAAATGATTTGAACATATTCAGCACATCAAAACGAAATTCTGTGATATTTATGTTGTAAACTGCAGTAGGAATTACGCGGAAACCGTACCATTAGTAAACAATAAGCCCGTTATCACATCAGACTGAGCTTGCTCTCTCTATTTGAAGTTAACGAGCTTTCATCTACACATATAATGTGTATAATATTTTGATTTAAAACAGATACATTTTTACAGCCTTTTATTCTCCAACAAACCAAATATACATATCAACTAAAACAGCATCTTTTATCTGAAAAGGTAAACCTTACGAAAATTATCGTTACATGTAGCTTGTTATCATACAATTGATAGAAAATGATCATGTCATTCGATCATGTTAGCGCTATAATCAAAATATGTAAATTCAGGTCAAAGGTAAGGATAACACTATAAAAGTACCACAATACAGGCCCGTAGGAAGAAATTTCAGTTTGAGGGGGCACAGCCAAACATTTTTCAGTTGACAGTTGAGGGGGCACTACCAAAAAATTTTCCGACAAGCAAAAAAAAAAAAAAAAAAAAAAAATACCTTAAATTCCTTGACAAGCAAAAAAACCCACAAAAAAGGTCATCAGACATTTTTATTGAGGGGGCACAAGCATATAGTATCTATGTTTACTATAGTAATCTATATATCGGCAAAATTATGGGGGGGGGGGGCACCGGCTCCTACGGCCATGCAATGTGAAGATGATAGAAGAAATTTGAAAGTTTTTGACTGGTTATGCTGAAGAAAATTGCATTTCCCCGCTCTTTAATGGTCTTTGATGGCAAAATATGTTTTATGATCAAAATAAGTCATACGATGTATATCATCACAGGTACTTATATGTCTTTTTTTTTTAGTTTTTATACATGTTTTGTGTTTTATATATTCAGTCAACCTTATATTTATATAGCTGTAGCTGTCATTTACTTGGAATCATATATACTTTCAACCTCTTCTCATAGATCATGTAATATGACAAAATGGAAGGGTCCTATAAACCATTTGTCAGATTGGAAGAGTTTTTAAACCAGAAGATGATGATGATTTGTCAGACTCAGATTCCCCATACCTTCATCAACTGTCTGGAAGTGGAAATACGGATCAGCTGTTAGAATGCATTAAAGCAGGATGTGACGTAAACGAAGAGAACGTCGATTTTTGTTGGACACCTCTTTACGTCGCAACTAGAAAGGGACATAAACATACAGTGGGAATTCTTTCGCAAAATGGAGCATTGGTTAATACAAAGTATAGTCCTTTGCATGTGGTTCAAGATTTGGCTATTGCTCAACTACTTCTTCAGGCCAATGGTGAACTTAACGCTTAAGATGACAAAGGAAATACTCCACTATATACGTATTGCAATTATGACTGGAAAAGAAAGTTTGGTAGACTTTTTTCTGTCATTAAATGCCCATATACATGACACAAATGCAGGAGGCATGACAGCAATGCACATTTTTTGTTCCTCTTTCATAGAAGATCCACATTGTTCAAGTTTATGTCTAATGTTTATTACTGAGGAAGGCGCTTGCGTGAACTGTAAAGATGCGCAAAAGAGATCGCCTTTACATTTAGCTACAGTGCATTATCAGGACAAAAATGACACTATAGATATTTTAGTGAAAGCTGGAGCATCTCTCTTAGATTTAGACTTACAAGGATTAAACCCCCTACACTATTTTATTGAAAACACAATAGGGTGCTCATGCATTGAAGAAGAAGAGTCAACAAAATTTATTAACACACTTCTTGTTGACAAGGAAATGACAAACTCTGAAACTGCAATTGGTCAGACGATATTTCATCTTGCCATATGTTATGTCCCAATACAAATTCTCAAATACCTAGTCAAGAAAGGATGCCATCTAAACGTTAAGGATGGTCGAAAACAAGGTCTTCTACATTACATGGTAGACAGACAAGAATGTACTGAGTCAGACGTACTTCAATATTTAATAGGCATGGGATTGGATATTAATGACCGTGATGTGTGGGGACAAACAGCCTTGCATCTTGCAGCTCAAAAAATAAAAAAGACACTTGCAGAAGATCTGGGGCTGAAATTGAAATTTGCAATGCTGTTGAATACCTTTCAATAAACATTGGAGAGTGCCTTTGTGCAAGTGTTCCAAAACTGCAGTGCACTATTTATCGTGCTGGAAGTTATTCTGAGGGGACCAAAACATTTTTTCCGGACGAATTTGATTATATGGTGTGCATTGACGGACTCAGTAAGAATATCTTTCCGAAATATATGGAAAAGAAAGTATATGAGAGTGCTCATTTCACTCCAAATAAAGAAACCGAAATACATTAACTTCTAGAGGAAGCTGTCGATTTAAAAAAAAAAACCCTCGAATCTTTTGTAGCAGACTACTCGTTGATATTTCGAAGAAGCAGACGAGCTACTCCTACTCTGAACTTACACAGTGCAGGGCTAGAAATAATTATTTTTTTAACTGGTTACTCGGGCTATCGCCTTAGATTTTTACGGCTCAACTCAGTACTTTCACTGTCCCCCTGGGCCAATTGATTTTAAAAAGACTGGCCCAGATGCATAATTATATTAGTCATATTTTGATTATATTGTGATTCTTAATAGTACAACATAACAAAACAAAAATGCAAGTCAAGTTAAGCACGGCCATGAATAAATTTTGTAATGTATAAAAAAAAAAAACTGACCCAAAGCGGACATGCTCTCAACAATGCACTAGCCCAGATTAAAATTTCACTGGCCCAAGACCAGTGGGCCATTTATTATTTCGATCCCTGACACAGGTTGAATCAAATTTATTGTTTACCAAACGTTTACCCAGCGTATGACTAACATTGTTTTTATTGAAAATTTTCAAAAAGACGACCGACTTCTAATTAAAAGAAAATATTTTGGAGAGGTTGCAGGTAAAAAAAGCTAGGAAATTGACATGAATTTTGTTCCAGCTGTGTGCCTTCCATCGTGGTCAAACAAAACGAGAAACAGTTCGATACTCCTATCCCCCGAATCACTCCGACTGCCTTAGCTTGCTTTGCTGTTCCCAAACTATCTAGTCAAGAAAAAGTGAACCTTTGGAGGTTTTCTCGGTCACTAGTGGAAACAGCAATAATGAAAAAAAAATTGAAATAGCCACAAAGCTGCCAAGTCTTTAAGCAGTTTCTAGATTTGTGCTTACTATATAAAAAAAAATTGTACTATCTCATTGTCACAAAAAGTGCAATAAATTAAGATACGAAATTATTATTGAAACCCTTTAAACCATACGTTCATGTTTAAATTATAAAATTCTTTGTTAAAAATATATCTTTTTTTAAGAAAACAAGTATTTTCTTCTACAAATGCAAAAAATTGAAAATTCCAGTAAAGTCTATTGATTTCAAAATTTTCTATTTTTGTGATCCAATTTATTTTATCTGTCTGCTTTCATGCATCTATATGGAATTCAAATCATTCGTTTGAAACTACCAATGATGTCATTAATTTATCATAATGATTTCAGAATATTGTAATTTTTTTGAAGGGCCAAATAACCATCTATTTTGTGAATTACATAACAGCGATTAAGGTTAATTTTATTCTTCTGTATTAAGGGCCGAATTTTTCTGTTAGCGATTAATATTTATATCTTTCATCAAAATATTTTTTCATCAAAAGTTGACAGATACAAAAATACCAAATATGTTTTCTTCATTATCGGGCATGAAATGTAGTGTACATTTTTAAATTTCATTGGCAAAAACTTTACAGAACTAGGGCGTAATGCTTGATGACCCATTTGCATTTTTTTCCAAGCCTCGGTTTAATAAACAATGCAAAGGCTTTCAAAAAATATTTGTCTTTGGATAAGATTACATGCCATTGTACATTGTATTAATAGAAATTGATCAAACTCATCTTTCATACTAGATGACGGAGATATTCATCTTGATCGTTGTTTCCTCCGCAATTATGTGCACGGCATGGTAAAAATAGTGGGAATTCATGTAACATATACCACATATGTTGAGCTCCTCGGATGACACGTATGCTCTACAGTTACATGTAGCTGTAACCTTGTAAGTTTTTTACTTTATTTTTCGAGAGAGTAATTTAATTGATGTGCATGTGTTAATTCAATTAATAATATTATTATAAAAATGTATGTACGATTAACATATGTGTGATCTGATGCCCTGCATTCTTTAAAGTATTGCTCTGTTTATCTTCATCATTAGCTTTTCAAATAAACAGGCGATCATGAACTCCTTATTCCTAATAGCTTTTTGCTCCCTCAATTAACGTGTAGATAGTTTTTCATCGGTTGAAAGTTTGTTTTGTGGAAACTCTTGGCTGGATAAGAAGTTACTATCTAATTAATGACCTTGACTGCCCGTTGAATTATTTTTAGACCGTGGTTAAGGTTTCGCGATTGAGTCACTCGGGATTTCCTTTCACTTTGTACTTGGTTATGCAAATATTTTAGTTTAAATTTTTAGGTACCAGGTATTAGGATAAAACGGTTTTCTCTCCAATATTTCAAAATTATTAACCCATTCTATCTTAACTTCAATAATATATAGATAGGCGGATATTTCATTTTAAGTATGTTCCTTTTCCGTAAGATAATCTTCCTCGTGCTAGTATTCAACAAAAGAATTACATCTGTATATGTAGGTCTACATGTACTCATGATGCGCGATACTCCAATTGGGTTAATGTATGTGTCATTGTTATTAGGGACTCTGGTTGTACAGGCTTTATAATTGCTAAACCAAATGATCAGGAGGCCTTCCCTTATAACCCCCCCCCCCCCCCAAGGAAATCTTTACTTGTATGTTTATATCGAAAATAATTCAAAAATAGGAACAATTTGATATCCCCAAATAGTTAAAACATTGCATAATTTTATGTAACAAGCTTAATCTAACTAAAAAAGACAACGTGATACAATTTGATTAAAACTAACAGTGGGACGGACAACTTCGGAATGGACATTTTTCCGAACTTGCGCACCCTTTTCCTTTAAAGCTATTATCTTAGGATTTTTTTTAAATGGTGGGGTTTTTATATTTAAATTGATTTATGAAATAAAAAATCCAACATTTTTAGCTAGTTTTTGAGATATTAAGTGGCAAAGATAAAAATCCCATGGGGAAACATGTACTTAAAATTACCCCATGAAAAACCCCACAAAAACCCCACGGGGTTTAAAATTTTCCCCATGGGGGAAATAAACCCATATAATCTTTCGTGGGGTTTTTAAACCCATATATGACTAAAAATTACATGTGGGTTTTTTCCCCCCACGTTTTTGTTACTTAGGGTAAAAAAACCCATGTAATCTTCATTATATATCTTTGATTTCATGAAAATTGGAATGGAGACATTAATTATTGTCTTGTCTTATTTTCAAACTTATTTCCAAGATATAATAATTTCAGACATGTCTGCTCCTCATTTTTTTTTCAATATTTTTGAAACCTTGTTAGTAGCAAAATCATTTGTTCTTAGAGATAACAAATTCTGTTTATTAATTAATTCATAAATTATCTTGGTATGTCCCACTTCCCTTGGATCCCCAACTCATAAGAAGAGACCGTTGAATTCTATTCATCGCCATGTTTTCTTTAGTTTTACTAGGTTACTCCGCATTGGTAAAACAGATCCAAAGGGATTTGTCCTAGTACGCACGACAATTCTGCCTGAATCTGAGGCACTGCTCCTCTCTGATTTTGAAGAAGCTGCCTCTTCGACCTTGCACTCGTTGATTTTCTTTGAGAGAATTCTAATTATTAGGTCTTTCCACCTTTCTGTGGAAAGACCTCTTGAAATGCTTATGTTTATTATTATTATTATTATTATTATTTTTCTTCCCGGACTTTTGAAACTGCAAGACTTATCGAAAAACTTTATAGGTCATGATACTGGATATCAAAAGTTATTCCGAAAAACGACCCCCCGTGTTTGACCTATGACCTCCTACGAAGTTATTGCCCCTTTCGCAAGAATAGCTTGTTATCGCTACTCCTTCGAAACCATAAACCGTAGAGGAACGGAACCTTCACCAATGTCTTCGACTAATTGAGGGGACTCTTCAGTCTTTTCATTGCGAAAGTATTCGTCAACCCCTTTTATGAGTTATTGCCCCTGAAAGTTTATGAAACTTACGAATAATTAAAAATTTTCAAAACGATAAGTTGTAGAGAGATGGGACCAACTGCATAAGATTCATTGACCTTTGACCTTCAAATATATGCAAAGGTCAAAGGTCAAGGTCATTCAAAATATGAGAAATTAAGCTCTTTTTATAGATCTTTTGTCTTTCAACATATCCTAAATATCTTTGCATCATTAATATGTACTCTTAAATCTATTTCAAAGATATCATTCTTGTCCCCTGAGCTTAACCCCTTTGAAAGTTATTGCCCCTTGTGCGAAAAACATTGTTATCGCTACTCCTCTGAAACCGTAGATTGTAGAGACATCAAACCTTCACTAATGTCTTCAGGGTCTTTAGACACAACTTCAATCTATTCAGTGCAAAAGGATCCGATGACCCCTTATATGAGTTATCACCCTTTAACATCTTTGCGCTTACTATTAAACCTTGTAACTTTAAAACTAAAAGTCGTGGAAGCATGAGACCAATTGCAATGTGATTCATGACCTTTGACCTTCAATATGCGGAAAAGGTTAAAGGTCAAGGTCATTTCAAAATTTTTAAAATTTTCATTTTTTTATCTTTCAAGCCTTTATGGATTCTTTTTGGATAAAAATTAACTTTAGAGAGAAAAATATATAAATTAAAGAAACCTAAAGAAGGTGGAAAGACCTCTAATTGTTCGAGAACAATTAGTCTACTAGTTTTTGTATTTTCTTCTTCCTTAGCCATGTCTAATGCACTTAAATTAGCCTTGGATCGAAGATTTACGTCCGCTCCGTGTTGAAGAAGTGCTGTAACGGTTTTAAGATAGCCTGAATTACATGCCTCATGGAGAGCGGTTTCACCGTCTTCATTGAGCGCATTGACGTCAGCACCATGTTCCAGCAGGAGGGATAAGACGTCATGTCCGTCAAAGCAGCTTGCTGCAAGATATAAAGCACACTGTCTAGAATTATCACGCATATTGACTTCTGCTCCATAATCGATGAGTGCCTGAGCGCGCTCCTTTGTTAAAGTGTTTCTCTCTAAGGCCACCATCATAGGTGTACTTCCATTCTTATTTTGGGCGCTTACATCTGCATTGTTTTTAAGCAGAGTTAACATTGAGTCAAGTTTGAAGCTGTCATATGCACTTGCATGCAAAGCTGTGTTACCAGACTGGTTTTTAGCGTTGACATTAGCACCATGATCTATCAGCAACTTTACTATTCCACTGTATTCTTTTGCAGTGGCCTTCATTAACAGGGTTTCATCCTCGTATCGAGGAATATAATTTACATCTGCGCCACGACGTAAGAGTTCTTCGACTATTTCTGTATGACCACCCAAAACGGCAGCAAAAAGTGGTGAATCTCCAATAGAACCATCTGCTTCTCTAGGATTGACGTTTGCGTTACGCGCAAGAAGATCAACAACATCTTTGAGTCCAGACTTGCACGCAAGATAAAGCGCAGTTGTGCCACAAACGATAATATTCACGTCTGCGCCATGTTCCAGCAGAAGTAAAGCTATTGAGAGACTATTCCCCTGTAGAGCATTTTCATATGGTTTGTATTCGATAAGGAATTGAATAATATTATTGTATCCGTGAAATGGGATTTTTATCTTTGCCACTTAATATCTCGAAAACTAGCTAAATTAGTCTTATTTTCTCTGGATTTTGGAAATCCTTTGACGTTATTTCCTATAAATTGGCTGGGTTTTTTTGCATGGCCTAGCAGGTTTAATCTGATTGATATAATTTTTTGAATGAAAAGCTAGGCACGTATTATTTTTAATCTAATAATTATCAGGTCGTGTTTCAATTTTTGATGATTCAGATTTAAAAAAAAATCAAATTAAGAATGGATGATAAGAAACACACACACACACACACACAAATAAATAAATAAATAAATAAATAAATAAATAAATAAATAGATGAATGGATTAAAAAAAAGGGCTTATTTTGGGTATGAATGATGCACATACTAAATTTCTAAAATATTTCAGAAAGTTTAAACTTCCTATGATGTTCAAAATTCTACTTTTCTGCAATCATGCTTACAAATTTGTACTTTTTATTGCCTAATGATTTTAAATCTTTGAATGAGAAAAAAATATATGACCGATAAACGTATTCATTTATTTTGTTAATATAAATATGACTTTAGTAGTTCTTTTCATGAAGTTGAAAACAAAAGCTTTCTTTGTATCATCTTGAATCTAAATTTGAAACACTATATTTGATGTTTTGCACCACAGTTATTTCTATTATTATCGGGTCAAGGCAAGATTAAAAGTGTGCACATGTTATTTGAAAACATCTTTCTAAAAAAAGATTACATGTAGCTACTCAGCCAAAAAATAACAGATTTTTTTAAGTTAGGCCATGTCATCGACAATGTAAGATAATCAATTTATAATGATAGCTTCATACATGTACAAACAGTAAAATTCTCTTTCTGTTATATAAAACAGTGAAAACCATACGTACGAGGGGTGATCAAAAAGTTCGCGAACTAATTGCTTTACTTCCATAAAAGAAATAAAATTAGGTTTCAGTATGTATTACTTTTTAAAGTAGTCCCCTCCGGTTTCAATGCACATCTGCCACCGTTCTGCCCATGCGCGAAACACGTGGTCTAGGCGGTCATGTGACATGCTCTTCAGCGTTCTGTTCACAGCAGCAAGAAGACTTTTTCGATTCTTATAATTATTACCATGCGGGTTATTTTTTATAACAAGAATAGTCCATTTGTCACAAATGACCAAATCTCGGCAATATGATGGGTGGATAGGGATATCATTCACCAGAATGAGCATGGTGACCAGCACAACCTGTGTCCTCTGTCTTGGATGCGTCGTTTTTTAATGTGAATCAAGTATAGGCGCGTTCTCTTTATCACATCTGAAATGTTTAAAATCTAAAGTAAATGATATTTTAGGGATTTAATAATTATTTTATTGTTAAGATATTGAACTACCTTTCTAACTGTAACTTGACGATCTTCCATAACAGATTGCTCAACTACGGATACATCTCTTTCCCAGCATACTTTCAATGGGCACCAGAACAGACATCATTTTTAACCATCTCCCTTCCTTCACAAAAACAGTCAGTCCAATTAATGATTGAACTTCTTGCAAGTTCTTTGTCTTCATTAACATTGTACAAATTCTTATATGCCACTGCAAAGGAATTTCCAAGATATACGTTAAACTTTACAGCCGTTCAATGCTGGAGTAAAACTGAGTCAACCATTTTTTGTCACAAGTCATCTACCTATTGACGTCATTTTTACATTGTGACGTCATAAACATGGACCTAAACATTTCTTGACAGCTGCTATTTATAGAACATGTGTGCCAAATTTTATTCTGATCTGAATTGTGGTTTTGTAAACATAGAGATAGTTCGCGAACTTTTTGTTCACCCCTCGTACATGTAATTCATCTATCTATCTATCTATCTATCTATCTATCTATCTATCTATCTATATATTAGGGATGTCAAAATATTTATTTTCCTTAGTCGATTATTCGATTGCATTATTCGAACGATAGTCGAATATATTCGGAACATTTCCTGAAAATAAAATTGTATTTGAAACTTCACTGGTACATGATTTATTTATAATTCAGAAACCCTTTTACTTAAATCTATTTAAAAAGTAACATCAAAATTTATGCAACGCGTGGATAGCATGATTATTTGAATTTCAAAACCTAATTTTCCAAAATGTATGAATTCCCCGTCAATAGAATTCATAAATCGGTTTGTACATGCAGTCAGTTTTTATTTAAGTAAGCAAAGAAAAAATTGCCAGGAGATATTTTTTAAAGATTTATTATGAAATACATTGAGGGAGGGGTGTTAATCTCACACTATCCACACGTCAAGTGCCTGTGAAATTGTTAAACAGTTAGATACTGCTTATTCGATTATTGTTTGCTCTGGCTATCAAAATGTCCTTATACAGTTTAAAATGTAAGCGAATTGTTTTGATAATATTATCGAAGTGTCTAAACATGTCACAGTTATGGTTCTTCCTTGCGCTTGAGCAATCTTAAAATAACAATAAATAATTGGTACATGGTATAAGATCAAGTCCAATTTATAATTTTACAAACAAAGCCTAGTAAATTGGTGGGTAATTAATTACAAAAACAACACAGGCAGTTACTGATAAATAATTCCCGCAGTACGCGGCAGTAGTAAAGCACTTATAATTACTGTATTTGCTATACGTACATGTACATGGAATATCAACCGTTTTTTGTTGAGAAAAATTATCTTATCGACTGTCTCTGAGGAAAGACGGTTTCTCAATTTTGTGATGAGAATTCCATCACGTTATCACTCTTTTATTGCATTTATTTAATTATGATAATATTCGAATGTCGTTTCATTATTCGATCGTCGGTCGATTCGACTGATAGTCGAATAGTCGACTATTCGTTGACATCCCTAATATATATATATATATATATATATATATATATATATATATATATATATATATATATATATATATATATATATATATATATATATATATATAATTTAAGCTTGACGATGTGTGGAATGATAAAACATGTATTTATCAATACTGTTCGGTCTCTTTCTACAGAGTATGGAAAACGACGACGATACGAAAGATTTCAAGGAAAATCTTGCAAAGTTTATGAAACACAAGTTAAATGAAATACCTCAATCCCCCACCATACATCAACTGGTAAGATCTAGAAATGAGGAGCAACTTCTAGAATATATCAGAGATGGATGTGACATCAACTTACAGAATCATGACGGTATAACGGCTCTTTATGTTGCAGTAGACATAGGGAATGAAAGAGCAGTAGAACTACTTTTGCAAAATGGAGCTATTGTCAACACACAAAAAAACCCAATGCATGTCATTAAAGATATGGCTATTGCTCAGTTACTACTTCAGGCCAAAGGCGACGTTCATGCTAGAGATGAGTATGGGAATACTCCATTGCATCGTGTGATAAAATCAAATTCACGTGAAACAGAAAGTTTAGTTGACTTGTATTTGTCTCATGGTGCAGATATACACAGTAGAAATGCTAGTGGCCAAACGACACTGCACACTCTTTGTTCATCTTTTGTACAAGAACCAGAAAGTTCCACATTGACTCAAAAACTTATTGAAAAAGGTGCAAGTGTAAATTCCAAAGATTCATGGAAAAGATCATCATTACACGTAGCTGTCATACATCAGTATTCATATAAGTACGAAACTATCAATATCTTGAAAAATAACGGAGCTTCTCTATCAGACCTCGATTTGCAAGGATTTAATCCGATACATCACTTTATAGAGCAATCAGGAGGGTGTTCATATGACGAAGAATACATATCGCTGAAATATATCGACTCTTTCCTTGTTGATGAGCACACTGCAAATTTGACTACCGCAATGGGGCAGACGATTTTGCATCTTGCCATCCAAGAAGTACCACTGGAGATTCTGAAGTACCTTATGAAAAAAGGATGCAAAATCCATGTAAAGGATAATCAGAATAGATGTCTTCTGCATTACCTTGTTGAAAGAGTGGAATGCACAGATATATTAGATTACCTAGTTGGCATGGAACTTGATGTGAATAATCGGGATTTTTTGGGACAAACAGCTTTGCATCTTGCTGTTGAGGAAGGTAATACTGAACTTACAAAAGGTCTTGTAGAACTTGGAGCTGATTTAAACGCGAACGATTTAACTGAAAAGCAGCCCATACACGTCGCTGCTGAAAAAGGATGGGATCATATAATTGATTTCCTTATAAAAGAGGGAGCAAATATTAATGCTCTTGACAAATACCAATCTACTCCTCTTCATTTTGCTGCATGGAATAATCAGTCATCGATCGCATTAGCCCTGATCAAAGCTGGTTGTGGGGTTGATCTCCGAGATTTCTGTGGACAAACTGCATACGATGTTGCAGTGTTTAGATCAAGCTTTGACTTTGTGCAGTTTTATCAGAAACATTACTGTCTTCAGAATAAAACACAGATATGCAAATTTTCAAAACATGCTAATTTATATATGACATTGGAAACTTTTAAAGACATCATAGAATCAAAAGAAATACAGAAAGACACAGAAAATTTAAAGGAGTTTCTAAACAACTTAATAAAAAACTCGCCCACTGGAATTGTATATGACGATCCTGAAGCCATTGAAATTCGTGATGCCATTGGACATTTTACCAAATACATTGCAAAGTGTCTGTCTGAAAGTGATCCAAAATGGAAATGCACTGTATATTATGCGGGAAGTTCTTATGAAGGAACGAAAACACTTTATCCGGACGAATTTGATTTCATCTTTTGTTTTGATGAACTCAGTGAAAATATATATTCACGGTATGAAGAAGATGATATTCGGGAAAGAGTAACTCTTATCGTACAAGGAGGTGCAGAGATCGAGGAGACACGTCCCTCTGTATCAGACTATGCTCAAATTTTTCTAGCAAAGCATACATATTACTCATACTCAGAACTCAGCGAGAAAGAATCGAAGATAATCACAACTGATGTGATGGTGAAAGTATTTACTCACCTAGTATCCAATATAGTGTACGATGAAAACTTCCCTAAGAATGACCGACTTTTTATAAAAGATGTTACAATGGACCCAAAAGTAGTGTTTCAATGGCGAGGTTCTAAGTATAAAAGTCTAGAAATAAATGTGGATTTTGTTCCAGCAGTGCGCCTCCAATCGTGGTCAAACAAATTAAGGATCACTTCAAAACTCCTAAATGCAGATTTTCTTAGTCTGCCTTGTCTTGCTGTTCCAAAAATGACGACTGAAGAAGACGAAAACCTTTGGAGGTGTTCCTTGTCACTAGTGGAAACAGCAATAATGAAAAGATGTCATCCACATATCAGAAATAGCTACATCGCTGCCAAATCTTTAATCACCTCAGCTGTTTGTCCTGTTGTTAGCTTTGGTGACAACAAGACTGCAAAGGATTATTATCTCAAACTCCACCCTGACTACATATCGTCTGAAGATGAGTTTGAAGTATATGACATAATGCAAAATATCTTCCCATCATACATCCTAAAAATGGCTTTCTTCAAAGCCATAGAAGAAAAGGCAATACGTGATGGTGTAGAAACTGTATTCAATAAATGTTCGACAGAGAGAGACATGCTGGAACAGCTCGTACTGAGAGAAGACACTTCTTCTGAACCAATCACTTTAACATGTAAGGAATGTGATCACACTGTGGTACAAGATGTTTTTAAGAAGTGTGATGAATGGCTGTCAAATCAATTCGTTCCTTCATTCTTTAATCCACGACACAATGTTATGGGTTCGAAAATCCTAAAGGAAAACGGCTTCAAAGTGCAGTATTATATGAAGTACATCCTTAAAATCCTAAATGAAAGCTGAATTATGATGGTCACGATGCCAAATTTACTAGTACTGAGTTCAGAATAAAATTTTATACTCATACTTTTAGTGTTTGAATCCTAGCTGCAAAATTAAAAAAAAAGATATGTGAACAATGCATGCAAAATTCCAATAGCTTTAAATATATATAAAATAAAAAATCAAATTCAATATGTAGACTGAGTGTTTAGAGCAAAGAAAAATTCCCTGAGAGCTTTTACAGCAGAAAAATTCTCTGAGCAAAAATCACTCTGTTGTTAATAAATAAAAATAAAGATTTCTTGGGATTTGAACCCAATCGATTTAAAAATCTTGATTTTTTTTCTTCTTAAAGGCTGCACCACACATAATAGGTAACGACATTTAAATCTTGAGTGCTATTTGATCCTTGAAAATCTGGACTTCAAATACTTCTCAGAAAAAGATATGAATTCGAGTAAAAAAAAGGTGTATTTTTAAGGTAGAGATGATCCTTGTTTCATGTTTTAGCTGTATATTGGTCAGAAACCAAAGGTACTTATACGATATTGAGGTGGTCGTCGTCCGTCCGTCTGTCTCTTTGTTTGTAAACAATTTTAGCTCACCTGAACTGAAAGCTCAAGTTAGCTTTTCTGATCACCTGTTTTCCGTCGTCCGTCCGTCCGTAAACTTTTCACATTTTCATCTTCTTTTCAAGAACCACTGGGCCAATTTTAAGCAAAGTTGGAAAAAAAGCATCCTTGGGTGAAGGGGAACATAAATTGCTAAAATGAAGGGTCAAGCCCCCTTCAAAGGGGAGAGAACCAAGAAAAGACAAAAATAGGGTGGGGTCATTTAAAAATCTTCTTCTCAAGAACCACTAGGCCAGAAAAGCTGAAACTTATGTGAAAGCATCCTGGTGTAGAGTAGCTAAATTGTTCAAATCATGGCCCTCGGGGGTAGGGTGGGGCCACAATAGGGAATTTAAGTTTTACATTGAAACATACAAGAAAATTCTTTAAAAATTTTCTACTAAAGAACCACTGGGCCAGAAAACCTGAAACTTAAGTGGAAGCATCCTGGGGTTGTGCAGTTCTCCTACAGCTCTGGTTCGATTCCAATATACATGTAAATTGGTATACAAGTAGACTTCATGAAGATGAATCATTCTGGTTATAGAAAAATTTTTAGTAGCCATGGGAACACCAAATATAGTAGGAGTAGCATTTTGAAAGAAAGGAGATGCGCTAACAATTAGGTGTGCAAAAAGCCTAAAGCTTCAGACGTTTGAAATCATATTCAATTTGTGAACTTAGTATTTAGAGGAAAATTCTTTTGAAATATATGAAATTATGACAAACAAATCTTACCTGCGGAAAATTTTCTCGGCAAAATTTATTCTATAATAAAAACAAATGTGGTATTCTTGGAGTTCGAACAAACAATAAAAATTCTGTCATTCTTGTTTAGACTAATATACGTTTAACCACTACGCTAAACAACTTAAGGAGGCTTGGGGGTCAACAAATTAACCATCAGATATATAACTTAATTTTTTAGACATGATATCTTAAGCTGTCAACTATCATTTGACAAAGAAAAATTTCATACATTTTAGTTTTAAAATTTGATCATTTTTGTATATTTTTATATGGAGCTCTTCTTCTAAAGGAGATCAATACAGTCTGAAAATGGCCACAACCACCCAGCCCTCTTAAGCCAAATTGTGGAATTTAAATCATGTTTGTGTTATGACCTTTGACTTTATGGACTTAAATTTAAATATTTCTCAGAAAGATGCAAATGTCGTGTCAAAGAAGGTATTACATGTATTAAGGTAAAGGGGGTCTTTGCTCCATGTTTTTATTCATCAAAAAAATGTATATCCTTACACATACTTTTAGGATAAATTATCAAAAATACGGAACGATACCCGCTCATATGGAAAAGTTGTACGTATGCTATTATTTCAATCTTTGTACGATTGTTACATATTGTGAGGATTTTACGTAATTTATAATAGTATACGTTAATGTTAGATGAAATATCAGAAAGAATTTTGTGATTTCATATTTAATTTTTCACCTTCTCATTTGTCGCACCATACATGTAACTTTTTTATTATTATTATTATTATTATTATTATTATTAATTATGTAAAAGTATGATACTTTCAAGTATATGGTTTAGTAATGTATGCATAAATATATGATGTACTGTATGTATACCTATAAAACAAGTCTTATGTTCATATAAAATATTTTGGGTATTCCCCTACTTGTATGTCTTTTCTATCAATCAAGCAATTCTTTTCCTCTTATGTATATGTATATTGTATTTCGTATGTATGATCATAATCATTATATACATTTTAACAATGTACTTTCTTTTTGCCCCATGAGGGCCCTTAATTGGTCAATAAACGAATTGAAATTGAAATTGAAATTGTATAGGCATTCTGCTCGCCTTGTTCGTCTACCTTCTTCTAATGAAATCTCTATTTCTATTTACCATGGCAACACCATTCATCAAAAACCGATGCACAGAATTATATAGTTAAATTTTACGTGGGGTTATCATAAGGTTCGTGGACTGATGCGATAAGTTGATTCTATATCGTGTATAGGCCTATGTTAATTTAATTTTACACCTTCTCTACATACACTGTACATTTTTTCCAAGTTCAAGAAGAGTTGAAAATTTTAGCTTGATGCGTTGATAATTTGCCAATTTATCTTTAAATACAAAATTTAAAGACATGATCACCCGGCGTTATTGCCATTTTGTTTTAAATGTGTGCACAGGACTTTTGATCGCTTTAGTCCGACTTAAAAAAAAACTGGGGTGTAAAAAAATATTTTATTAAACAGCTCAATTTTTTTGTAAGTCGGATATTAAAGCGATTTAAAGGGCTGGGGTTTCATGTAGTTTGAAAACGTCATTGCTTCTCGATGTCTTTCGCCTCAGTTCACTTTTTCTTGATGAGATACCCTAAAAATACTAATTGAAACCCATTTTGTTTTTATGATTTTAGAATTTCATGAAGAGCTGATTTCAAAGCATAATTATATTTTAAATGGACCTATACTTAGATGAAAATTCCCTTTCTAGACCTCTAATTAATTTACTATAAGATCTTATAGAACTGACAAAATGAGGTTGTAAATTTTGCAACACAGTTATGTCACATTACACTATAGCTAGTGAATTATATTAATCATTGGATGAAAAATGCTCATACATGTGTATCTGAGGATTTATTTCCTTTAGACTCACTACATAGAAAAAAATGTCGCAATTTGAGGTTGCGCCGCGTGTTCATACCATTTTTTACGGAAACATTTACAATTTATTCAAAGATAAGCCGTGTGTCATATAGTTTATTCTGTAGACAGAAAATTTGTTAACTAGATATGTAAAAAAAAAATCATTGATGTACCTAAAGCGGTTTAATTTTATATAGCACCAGTCCACGAACTTACGCGAATATACCTTAGTGAAGTCTACTTATGTACCCAGTTTTATTGAAATCGGACCAAAACTTTAGCAGAAGTAGCGTTTTGAAAGAATTTCATAGAAATTTCTATTTTAGTAGCCATGGCAATATCGTTTATCGAAATTTAAAAAAACGATATATACAGTAAAACAGAATCGTGTATCTTAGGGATGTGTACCTGTGTTCCAAGTTATAATGTTATATAGGACAAAAACTACAGGTGAAGTAGCATTTTGAAAGTTGTTTACAGACAAACATACAGACAAACAAAAAATACAAAGAGCTAGGAAGACGGAGGAACGACGGGCAACTTACAATCATACTGTATGTAAGCTCTTTTGATTTCTGACCAGTAGAGCTAAAAATGGACTTAATTGATATCCTACTGATGTACTCTGATCTTTAAAAATACACTATCGTATTGAATGCAAGGTGGATGCATGCTGTCCATTTTATCAACACAATTACATCATATTTTGTTACTGACACATTATCTGATTCAATCAAAATGACAGTTCTAAGTCAAAAGGGGTGGGGGGGGGGGGGTTTACTATTCCCTTCTATGATCTCCCATCGACAACCCCTGTTCCTAGTGCCTACCTCTCCCGTTGTTTCGCTTTTCTCTATTTTTGTTTCATTGTATTTTTCTTCTCCCGTATCCACTCTCCTCCTCTACCAGTCCCGACCGCTATGAAAATAAACTTGAAGGGAGAATTATTATTAAACATGTATCAGATTATAAAAACCTAAAAAGGGCAAGGGAATAATGAGGAATTATTTTTTGTTGTGTTTTACATTATTATTATAAGCATGTTGGAAACAAAAAACAAAAGCAATTACGCCTCTGAACCAAAAAAAAAAAAAGTATTTTTATGTCTTTGCATTTTCGATGTCTGGTGCCGAAACGTCTGAGCACCGAATCCCTCAGGTGCCCATACGTATCGAGATCGTATTATCCATAACGAGGCTATCTTCTCCATATTGTTTATTTTTCAGAAGTGTACCCAAATAAATTTGTATTGAATATACAGCAATACAGTGAAGATGCCGCGAATAATGATTAAAGGTGGTGTGTGGAGAAACACGGAGGTAAGTTCGGAAATAACATGAAGAAGAAAAGTATGTTTTAAAAATATCTTTATTGCAAAGCGAACAAACAGTTATGTAGCTATTTACTTTCCCGAATTTGTTCTATAAATAAATCTCATTTTTGTTTATTATTAAACTCAACTGATACTCTAAGACATCTATTTCTAAATCTTTGACAGGATGAAATATTAAAAGCAGCTGTAATGAAATATGGCAAGAATCAATGGGCCAGAATTGCTTCCTTACTTCATAGGAAATCCGCCAAACAGTGTAAAGCACGATGGTAAGACTTTAGTCTCTTTATCAGATGGTGTACTTGTTTGATGCTTTGGGTTTTATGTGCTAACGTTTATTGAAAGTAACAATTATTATGGTCATAATAACATGTTTCCATAAGTTTGGAATTTACAGATTTTCAAATTAATTTTCAGTACAAGCATCTAGGTTGTGCTCACGGAAATCTAAATATGAGAGATTAACAAATCCGGAATTTATCTTGGATAAAACTTATGATTATGCTTGGAAATTGCCAGTTTTATATCACTGTATATTATTTATATCAAGTTTGCTAGTGCATGTGAATATGTTGCAAAAAACACATTTACACACCAGAGCCCTGTTCAACAAAGGAACGTTCGCAAGCGCTCGCCAAAATTCCTTATCCCTGCAACGGAAATGTTCATGAGCGCTCGCGAACATTCGCTGTGTTGAACAGGCTTCAGGAGTAAAGTTTGCATTAGTGAAAAATTTAGACTTAATTGTGAGTAGATGGTGCATGTGAACGGGCTTTAAGGTACCATGAGATGCAGAGTTGACCACATCCTGAGCATAGGGGATGCTTACCTTGATGTATAACTCTCATAATGAAGTGAATTAAACAGAATGTTTTATTAATTACATGTCAACATAATTCATATATTAAACAGGTTTGAGTGGCTGGACCCCAGTATCAAGAAAACAGAATGGAGTCGAGAAGAAGAGGAAAAGTTGCTACATTTGGCCAAGTTGATGCCCACACAGTGGAGAACCATTGCACCCATAGTGGGACGAACAGCGGCGCAGTGTTTAGAACATTATGAATATCTTCTGTAAGTATTCTAATTATGTGGGTAATTTTTATGTGTATTGCAATAATTATTACAGTTAAACTTCAGTATCTCGAAATCCGATATCTCGAATACCATGAATATGTTGAAATGATTTGGAAGGTCATATCCATTATTCTTTCAGTATTTTACCCTGGATATATCTTGAATCCAGGGATATCACAAAGTTTTTGCCTTGTTCCCATATAGTATGAGATATCGAAATCTGACTGTATTCAAAATTTGTTTCATTTTATATAATAATGGACTTATGGCTTTGTAGAAAACTTTCATTATAATATATATTTGGAATTTAATAATACACAAATGACAAGGAAATGTGTACTATGAAAGCATTTTGACAGAGAATGGTTTAATTGTATATAAATATACACACAGAGACAAAGCTCAGAACAGAGATGACAGTGAAGGTGATCCCAGGAAACTGAAGCCGGGAGAAATTGATCCTAATCCTGAGACAAAGCCTGCCAAACCAGATCCCATTGATATGGATGAAGACGGTAATAAAAGATGACTTTCTCAGCTACATGTGTATAGGCTTATCTTCCACTTAACACTCTCGATGCATACTAAGGAAATCTGTAAATTTCATATCATTGAACAGTTTTTGTATGGTAAAGTTCTGATAGTTATTTACTCCTGTCTCTGTGTATTTGTTTGATACACATTTTTTTTCAAATATAAATAAAAAACATATTTATAATTTACAGTAAATATAATTGTATTTGAGGGATGGACAATTGTACTTAGGACTGAATGATTTTTAAAATATTAAGCATTGAGCAGTGCACACATGTATATTTTTATATTATGCCTACATGCATTTTTTATGCAAAAATTGTTTATAAATTATATATTATATGCTTGAAGAACTCTAATATTACAAACTATATTTATAACTATGTCTAGATGGATTTTTCATGCATGTAAAAAGAATTCTTTATATATTTATGCCTTGTGTACTTTAACCTTATAAATAAAAATATACTAAGATCCCTATTGTTTCTTTTTCAAGTCATGCAATTGAATTATTATCAATACAATGTAAAGCTGGATGACCATGTACTCAGTAACATCCCTCCCCCCTTCCCCATTTCTATTTCACAGTTTACACCGATTTATCTCCTTGTGTATTGCTCTTGTTTTCTCCTTTTAGAACTTGAAATGCTGTCAGAAGCAAGAGCTCGTTTAGCCAACACACAAGGCAAAAAAGCAAAGAGAAAAGCCAGAGAAAAACAGTTAGAAGAAGCCAGGTATTGCAAAATATTTGTCAATTTTGCACTATTCTTCAAATTAAATTTATGATCTAATAGTATAAGCTTGAGAATTTATATATAAGGGTGAATTTAAAAAAAAATTCCAAACACATATTTTTCAATCTGCAATAAAAGAACAGGCAATGGGAATAAATTTCTATGTCTCGGCATATGTCTTTAGATAGTGTCTAAATACCTGCCAAATATCTCATTGATATCTCAATTCACAAAAAAGTTATGCCCAAAAATGATGCTGAAAATGTCAGGAGAGCAACACCTTTTTGTCACATTTTTAAAATTCAATATTTTTTGAAGATCTGTGAATGAATAATAATGGTTTATGGTGGAAATAAAGACTTTCCTGATAATATTTAAAGTATTGAGCTTTACATTTTTTTTTAATTCACCCATAAGAAGTATTAGTTTACACTAAAGATGTGAGAAAAAAATGTTTTGTGTAATTATCATTCCCCCCCCCCCCCCCCCCCTCCTGAGTATAAGACTACAATTACCTTTAAAATTGATTGTCAGGTTTTGTATACATACAGTTAAGTATGTAATAAATGCTGATGGAGGTCACTGTTAGAATGATAATCAGTTTGTTTTATGTTCGTATATAGAAGTAATATTTTTATGATGTTAAATAAGATTTAAATTTTCAAGCCAAAGAAAATTCTTTAAATTCTTCATGTGAGTACTGCTCTGAAGTTTCCACAAAAAAGAGTGTATTTCAGTTCATAGTTTCATGTATATATTTCAGACGACTAGCAGCTCTGCAGAAAAGACGAGAATTGCGTGCAGCAGGCATTGAGTAAGTTATTATTTTGATCTGTGCCTTTTGCCGATTAAAAACAAGAAAAAGAAATTCTTTTAAGCAAAAAGTAGGTGAATTATTGCTATCCTCAGTCGTCTATCCTCTTTGTAATTTTTGACAATTTTCAGCTTCTTTGAAAAACAGCAGAGTCAATTTCAGCCAATTTTGTACATGAATGTAACATGTATGATTGGCTTGATTTAAGAGAACAAAAATTGTGAATTTTATGAATTTCTTTGTAAAACCTTACTTATTCCTAGACGTTAAGTAAGCAATCTATCTAATGTTGGCAATAAGGTGTAAGCTCATTACCAAATTGTGAAATTTGTATCCCCTGGGCTTTGTCCAAAGGAATACTAAATTGATCATATATTGAAAATGCATTATGCATTGTGTCTTTGAGATTCTTTATTCCTAAACATCTTTGAGAGGAGCTTCCTGCAGTGTGATAATGAAATTTGAGTTCTCACAAATTGAAGAATTCATGTCACATGAATCCAGAGTCCCACTTATAAGTGAGATTGAGTTCGTCATAGCCTGAGAAAACTAATGATACTCAGGTGATCATCAAGGCCAATGGGCCTCTTGTTTAATAACTTAATAAAAAATATTTCTCTGTATATCTAGAATAAAGAAACAAAAGAAAAGAAGAAGAGGAGTAGACTACAATGCAGAAATTCCATTTGAGAAGAAACCTGCTCCAGGTATCCCATTATCTTTGTGGGCGATGCATGTGGTCCATATTATCTGAAAGAAAATTCCACTGAAAATTGATATCTTCTGCAACTTTTAAAATACTGGAAAGTGCACAAATTTATTACAAGGCAGTTGGCATTTAGGAGGTCATATAAGAAAAACAGTTTGTAAGGTCTTGCTGCATGGCCTTTGAAAATTCACAGAGCATGAGTTTTAATTTTTCACAATAATTTTATATTTATAACAAAATACAGTGCCAGATTTGTATTGAAACTGTAACTTCTTCTTTCTTTTTGTATTTTTTACGTTGTCATCGAATGTCGAAACACGCCTGTAAAATTGCCTAAAACAGACTTGATGGTATTGATTGACTTGATTTGTCCTTTACAGGGTTTTATGACACATCAGAGGAGGTGTATGTGGCAGAGGAACCTAACTTCAAAAGATTACGTCAGCAGAATTTGGAAGGAGAACGCAGAAGTGACAAGGAGGAGGTAATATTGTCACTTTCTGTGTAGACACAATGTTTTCATCATTTTAGGGTTTTTTTTTTTGGGGGGGGTGTTTAGATCCTTTTATACATCTTTTTATGTAATGTATCAAAAGGGTTATGCATTATGTACAAGATGAAAAATTTTTAAAGAAAAATACTCGTTCAAAACATTTTAGATAAACTTCATAGAAGAATGAGTTTATGTTGTATCTGATAATTTATTGCAAGTTATTAGATATGAAAAATTTCTGTATCAAATTTTCAAATTTTTTTCCCCCTGAAACTTCCAGTATTATTGTTGTAGTTGTCAGTAATAACAAATCTGTGTGAAAAGCTGTTCTTGTATTTCATTATGGAATTCAGCTTTAAAGTTATACTTCCAGTAAATACAAATAAAGACAAATAATGTTTTATTACAGAGAGACAGAAAGAAGGATAAACAGAAACAGAAAAAGAGAAAAGAAAATGATTTACCAGGAGCCATAGCAAGTCAGAGCAAGTAAGGATAAATGCTCTAGATCTTTGGATTTGAATGAAAAAAAAAATCCAAAAACAAAATAAACACTTTAAATCTGTTTCAAGGTATAAGTGAGAGAGCTGTTGGTAGGCCTTGAGAATTGTTTCAGCTTCTGTTTATGTCATGACTTTTTTTTATTGTGAAAAACGTGATTAAAAAATTTTAAACAAAGGATAAATTAATACCCCTGGTGTATAAAATTAATATTTTTTTTTAGTTTTCAAGAACCAGTGAAGAAGAGAAGCAAGCTTGTGTTACCAGCTCCACAAATCTCCGATCAAGAGCTGGAGGAGGTAGAAATTATACAATGATAGAGTTTGTTGTTTTAAAATTTGCTTATGTACATGTATCTGAAGATGGCTCTCTTTAGACAATAAGCATGATGTATGAAATGGTCCATAAATTGGTTAAAAGCTTGCATTCTTTCTAGTTGAAATTTACATGTGTGAATTTTGTGAATTTGTGGAAAAGTTATCAAATAAATCATAAAGTCCTCTATTTAATTTCTAATTTAATGATTCAATAGTTTCATAACATCAGGAAAAAAAATACATTGTAGTGTATATTTCTTCTTGAATAAAACCTGGATTTTTTAAAAATATATGTAACTGGTGCTTTCATATTTAACAGGTGGTAAAAGTAGGTCAGACCAGTGAGTATGCTCGTCAGCAGGCGGAGGAATCAGGGGGAGGAAATGTGGCCAGTCAGGCTCTACTACAGGATTACAACGTCACTCAGGGTGTGGCAAACCTCCGGACCCCCCGCACACCAGCCCTCCAGGACACAGTGCTCCAGGTAACCCTTACACTAAGATATCTACGTAGTGAAGGTACACCCTACACCAGTACAATCAAACCTCATTATGTGACATTCGATGGAGCTGAAAAAAAAATCTGAGGATTCAAGATATCAAAGATTAAATTATATAAAGAAAAGTGGTTGGCACTTCATCAAATCCATGTTAATCCAGATATTGATGTTTGAGATACCAAAATTCAACTTTACTTAAGTTTTCTTCCCTTTCCTTGATGTTGGTTTATACCTCCCTTATCATTTTTGTGAAAAAAGGGAGAAATTCATAGAAGGGATAATTTAGGTGTTCCAATCTGATTTGTAAGTGCAAGGTTTTATTGTGTTAAGTATTGGAGAAAAAAATCCCCAGCTTCATTATGATAACTGAGAAGTCTAAATTTTAAAGCTTAGAAGCTGCAGTTGCTCTTTGATAATAAAATGACATGTTTCAAATGTAGGAAGCTCAGAATTTGATGGCATTAAGTGTAGTGGATACTCCACTGAAAGGTGGACTTAACACTCCTCTCCATGAGTCGGACTTTGGTGGAGTGACCCCCAAGCATGCTGTAGCACAGACCCCAAACACTGTTTTGGGAACCCCTATGCACACCCCAGGAGGTCAAGGTGTGTACTTTAATATTACTAGAAATAAAACTATACATAGAGTAGCTGGATGAAAAATAAATGTAGCAATTTCTGTATGAATGCTTGATTCAGAAGGAATTTTTTTAATATAAATACATGTATATAAATTTTCTGTTGAGACTGATGATTGAGTTATTAGAAAAATATAAGTCTACTAATATTTTGAAGTTCTAACAAGTTACTTATCAATGGTTATTAAATAGATTTAAAATTCTTTCACTGTATTAATAAGGTATGACCCCACGTGGAATGACCCCTAGGATGGGTGTGGCTGGCCAGACTCCTCTGAGAACCCCAATGAGGGACAAACTGAACATTAACCAGGAAGAAGACTTTGATGCTGCTGTTAATGAAAAATACTATCAGGTAATCCATCACATATCATATGATAAACAGGGAAAGTGTGTAAATTCAGAAGAAAGACTTCCAATGGGATTTTGTCTCCAAGATGCTAACATACATTATCAGGGATGTGTATTCTTCTGACTAAAGCTAAAACTAAACTAAAAATTAAACCCTGTAAATTTATTGACACATCCCAGAATAAAAGTAGTAAGAATCCACACTCAATAGCAGAACCTGGTTCAATTTCTGTTTTGTTTAAAGAGACAGATATGCACTTTGTGAAAACCTATTCAAGGAATTTTTTTTTTTTTTACAAATTGGAAGTTTGGGGTAGAAAGTGATTGTATGAGAAGAAACTCGTATACAGAATTCTGTGATTAGCACTCATTGTATAAGAATTAATTCTTGTTGATAAAAGAAAAATTGCAACTTTGACTTTCCAGAGAGATATGAAAGACCAGCTCCGCCAGGGTTTGGCAAGTTTGCCTCGACCTAAAAATGATTACGAAATTGTGGTGGAAGATCTAGGGGAAGATATGGATGAAACAAATGAAGGGGAGGACTTCATCGCTGACCAGGCAGATGTTGACGAACAGTCTGAGGCAGAACATTTAGCAAAACGTGTGTATTTTAGATTTCTACCTATGTCTTACTTTTGTGCATGTTTTTTAGGACCTCCTATCAAAAATTGTTGTGCCCTTTTAAAAGAACACTTTGATATTTTCCAGGATTAGAATATAAGATGGATATGAAGTAAATTTAAACTTGGTTAATTTCTGCCTAGCCTTAATTTTTTTTTCTGTACAATGCTGAAAAAAGGATTTTTTGCATTCAGAGGACGAAACAGTGAAATACTCTTTGTAATGTTTCTGTAACAGGTCAGAAAGAAATGAAACTGAGGTCCCAATCTGTACAGAGAGATCTGCCCCGCCCATCAGACGTCAATAAAAATATCTTACGGGTCACAGGTCCTGGAGACCCGCCCTTAAACGAACTACAGAAGGTGAGGTTATTTACAGGCAATGCAGAAAACTAATTTTGTTAGCAAGTGCAACTTAGATTGAAGCTTTAAATGATCTGAAAAGTCTTGTCAGACCCTCAAATAAGGATTTCTATGCAAGACGTTTTTCTGATGCAGCCATCCACAAAGCACACAAAACACAGAGGCATTAAAGCATATTTCCCCTGAAATATTTTTCGGACAAGGAACACATCAGTGTACTTTTCTGTGGATCATTTTACTTCTTTTTAATCCAAATGATTTGTGTAAAGCTTTGTATTATTAAGCTGTTTTTAAAGACTTTTCACAGATATAATTCATTGAAGCATGACAGTTTGAATTGCCTTCACATTTGAATGAAAACAATGTCACATAGGCAAGGACGTCAAAAAAAAAAGTGAAAACTTTCAATAACATTTCAGGCTGAGGAATTGATAAAGAGAGAGATGTTGACCATGCAACATTATGATGCTGTACATAATCCTACTCCTGGTCAGCTGGGGATGGGACCAGGCAAAAAGAACCAGAAAAATGTCACATCACAGGCTCAGCATCTGGCTTATCTACAGCAACATCCCTACGACAAATACACAGAGGAAGATCTAGAGGAGGTAACAGGGGTGGACAAAAAAAATTTTCGGTGGGGGGTGTTTATCAGATGTATGAAATCAGATTTATTAAAATCTCACTTTTTATGTGAAGGATACAGAATTGAAAATTTGTTAACAGGATACTTCCCTGAGCACATCATGGAATCCTGTCAAATACATTTATTGGAAAACATTGCACAGGCAGTTTATTTAAATTTGAAATAGTTCTTTCATTTACAGAATTTTTTATTTTTTATTTTATAATTATGTTGATCATTATCTGTATATTGAAACTGATTTCCACTCATACATCTTTGTCTATTCAGTATTGCTGTGTACGAAATTAAGCACGGTGGCAGTACAATGTAGTATAACAGCACACAGGACATGTATTTCTTGTACAAGATTTTTATAAATCGAATTTTGAATACTGTAGGCCAGGAACCTGTTGAAGAAGGAGATGGGGGTGGTGAAGGCAGGGATGAATCATGGAGAACTCTCTTTAGAGTCTTACTCTCAGGTGTGGGACGAGTGTTACTCCCAGGTTCTCTATCTCCCCTCCCAGAACCGCTACACCAGGGCTAACTTAGCCAGTAAAAAGGACAGGATTGAGTCACTGGAGAAAAGGCTTGAGGTACTGAAATTTTTATCACTCTTGTTTTAATTCAGAATATTAATGGTAAATTCTTAAAATCTGTATGTAAAACAAAATTGATTTATTCGATGTTGGAACTCCTCAACTTGCTCACTGATTGTCATATTTGTTAACAGATGTACACTTTTTTTTTAATGAAATTCTGAGGTCTTATATACATTAGTCATCATTGATCTTTGTACAGAATAAAACTTACAAAGGCAAAGTTTAAGCTTTGATTTCCCAGGGTAGAATATTTTTCCAAGGTAAAATATTTTTACAGTAGTATGTCATAAATCTTGTAGGGAAACAGAAACAGTATGACCAAAGATGCCAAACAAGCAGCCAAACTGGAAAAGAAGCTGAAAATTTTACTGGGAGGCTATCAGGTGGGATTTTATTATTTGTATGTAACAGAGTTGCTGAATAAAACGTCCATTCAAATTATTTCATGTATTAGGTTGTACATTTTATGTTATGTTTAAATCTAGATCAACCTTTTCGAAGGTTGTTGAAAGAAATATGAGCAGAGAATTTAATAGGTCCTGAAAATATTGAAAGACTGAAATATTTTTTAATGGATATGCTTTTACAGTAAATCCAAAAATATAGAATAAAACATTTATTTATTTACTTGAAGTGATTGTAAACTATTTATTTTGTTGTCAGTTTCCTTTAACAGTGTGTATTATAAATGAAAATGTTGTTTTGTTTTCAGTCTCGGTCCCAGGGCTTAATTAAACAGTTAAATGATCTGACAGAGCAGATAGAACAGACGTATGTGGAGTATAAGACGTTTGAGGACCTCAGAAAACACGAGATTGGAGCCATCCCAAAAAGAATGGAGGTTTGTTTGTATGAGTTTGGTTTCTTTGACATTAAAAAATTTTATGATAATTGTGTCATTGTTGATCGTATGTAGTATATTTTTTCAACTTTGCCATTTTGACAGAAGTTGGAAAATTTTGTCATCCATAATACCTACAAAGAAATTGTTCTTCTTTGTATTAACTTTTGAAAGAAGGATAACAAAAAAAAAAATGCTGGGTTAAATGAAAAGGTAAACAAAAAATGGTGGATGAACAGTTTTACATTAGGTTAATAAAGGGCAAGATCTGGTTTAAAAAAGAATTAGAAAAGGGGGAGGGGGTAAGACAAAGATTGCATTCTCCACAGTGGCTTACATGAACAATGACCATTTTTTTGTTTTTAGTCCCTGACAGAGGATGTACAGAGGCAGATGGAGAGAGAAAAAGAACTACAGAAAAAGTTTGGGGAACTTCAGTACAAAAAAGATGTTATTGTCTATGATAGCTGATAATGCAGTTATGAAGTGACAATTCAGTGGTGGTTAAGATCATGCATTATTTATGATGTTGTATATACTTCAAGACTATGGTCCCTCCTTAGCTTAATACCAAGTTTAACAAAATAAATTTGTACAGAAGACTATGCTATACTGAGCAGATAAAATCCAGAAGGGAAAACACCAGTCTATGAACTCTGTAAGAAACACACGATTTGGAAGATATTCTGGATTAGTTTCCTTCATTCTCTTAAATGTATATTGTATTTGCAAAGCAAATAAAATTTAGAATTTTTCATAGAACTTTTTTAATAATCAGTCTCTAGAGGTGATACATTTCAAGAGACAATTATCATAAATGTTGATCAATCGATAAACATAATTACATGTAACTTCTTAACTAGTTAAATCCAGTTTTTTAAAGCCATCTGACAGGTGTGAAAAATTATCTTCAGAAAAAAGTGTCAAAGGTAAACTATAGCTATTTCTTGGCTCTTCCATCAAAGTAATGCACAAATTATAACAATATTTCATGCACATTATATACTGTTGAATCATCATTGTTTGTGGGGGATCAATGTTCGTGGATTTCTTGGGTAACACTTACCCACGAATTTACATCCCATCGAACAATTATTTTGTCAACGTATTGATTTATTGAATCTACTAAATAAACGAGCAGCCCACGAAATTACATCCCCACAAACTAATAAAATCTTGCTTGCCAACGAACATTGACCCCCATGAATTTAAATGATTCCACAGTAAATAATTTTTTCAGATGAAAAAACAAAACAAAATGTTTTTGTATGTTTATTTAAGGATAAATTGCATTCATTTAAAAAAAAACAAAAAAAAAACCAATGTGTGAAAAACTGGTACCCCTTACATCACAGCTCATTGCCATGGATGAGTTTTTTTAAGACTTTAAAAAGTAGGTCAAACTCCCAAGATCATGAGGTAAAAAATGTGGATACCCAAAGAAAGTTCATGTCGCAAAGAATTCACTTGAACTATGGAAGCTTTAAGTCGGTCAAGGTCATGAAGTTAGAAAAAAGTTGGTAACCACAGAAAAGCCATGTCATAAGGAATACACGTGAAATATGAGAGTCTTGGCATCAATTGTTTTAAAGAAAAGACTTAGGTTAAAGTTTTTTTTAGGACAAACAGACAGACAGACCAAAACTATAGGGTGGGGGGGCGTAAATATATTACAAGGTTACATAATTGTACACCCATTCATTCCTTTATAAGTAAAATGTTTATTTACATGAGACTGCATTTAGCCCACATTTACCAAGTCCAAAAGTACAACGATGTCATTGATGTATTGCCTTTGCAACAGCTTCCAGGTTAAAATTTTCTTTAGGAAATTTTTTCTGTAGATACCACCTAGTCCAAACTTGATTGATGTTAGTGATTTTCATAAATCTTTGTCACTGTTGAAGGTCTACTAGATTTAATTAACCAAGAACCGTTTTCAGATAGTCATGTGTATTTTGATTCGGGCCTAGATTAGGAAAAATTTAATATATTCGGAAAGGTTTAAATAATAAATAATCTATTGATCAACATCATTGGTACCATGAATGTTATTTGGATGTCATATAAGCTGTAGGTGTCAATGAACATATAGTAATTGTTGAGAACTATTCTCTGAAACCACTTGAGCTTTTTTGGCACGCACAGTTTTTGAGGAAACGTAGCTCATTGTTTTAGATTGAAACCATAAACATAATATATCAAACCCAATTTGGTTGCTTTGCATCTTGGTTGCCATGATAACAAATTTAAAAGTTGAGATTTTCAGATACTTTAGTTCTTTACTGGGCCAAAATGAAGACTAAGAAAACCAAATTAATTGTAACAGCTCTCTTAAAAACATTACACCTTGTTGCCACTAATGCAATAGAAAAATTATTTAGAATATATCTCAGTCTAAATAAAAGGAAACCATGGATACATTAACCATCCTTTAATTGCTGAAAACAGCTCAATATACATTTATGATAGGTGTAACATATTTTCGGGCCAAGATTTCAATGCTCTAGAGAGAGCTTGTCTTTTATGGCTTCATAAGATAAATTTCATGCCTAAGCCAAGGTATTAAGCTAGCGCCTACAGATACCGAGGCATTCAAGGTCTCATTCGAAAAATCCGTACTTTTTATGAACAGTTTATATCATACATTGCCTCACAGTTCTAGGTAAAAGCTGTAGCTTTCCTCTTTCTTTTGATATACAATAAATATGTTTTGGTACTACTATTCATAATGGTTTTCAAAAGAAAAATGGAACGGACCCTATGAGCCTTGAGTGTATTTTTCTTTGTCAGTATGATCTTTCTTTTGGCAAATGCTATGCGAGCTTTTTAAAGGTGCATGGACACAGTTTCAGCTTAAAATTTTCAAATTTTATTTTTCCATTTGTTATGTTTACATATACTTAACTAAGATCGATATTTCTTATGATCATCAAAAATTTGAATTTCAGTTGTTGAAATACAAGACAGATTTAGAGCTCCCAACCTCTGTTATGTAAACAAGGCCTGTGCCATGTTTTTGTTTACATATGCTAAATATACTAATATTTATTCGTTCAAAGCACATTTTTTTAATAAAGAAGTTGATTCTAAATACGATTAGACAGTTTCTAGTGATTTTGCTGAATCTGGTGTTGTTATAAACATGATATTTTCTGTATGTAAACAAAAACAAGGCACAAGCCTTGTTTACATTATGAAGAAGTTTAAGTTCTGCATCTCCTTTGTAAATCAACAAACGATGTTCAAATTTTGCTGATAATTGGAATTGCTTTAGTTAAGAATTGTAAACATTAATAATTGGTAAAAATAAATTTCAGTTGAAACTGTGTCCATGCCCCTTTAAAGTTAAATAATATTTTCACCCTTGTAAATGTAGTGATTTGCATCATACTTTTACCAAATCTTTCATAAATCATAAGTAATGACAATATTGAATCAAGTTTCTCTTTATTTTGAAAAAACATGTGAAACAATTATTTGAATAATATTGCCTAGTAAGTGTATTTAGAATTATGTATATTAAGTTTTCTAAATAAAATCAATTTCAGGAAGGTAATTTTGTTTTACAAAATTGATTACATCGTTTGGATTTAATATCTGGCAACACGTATGGTAGGAAAAGATACAACAGAAATTAGCTTCTTTGGTATCAATGTTTACTGATGAAAAGAAATACATTTTAAATTTTAAATCGTGTTCATCCAAATGTATGAAAAAAGAAAGAACAAAATGCCAGGTCCAAAATCTTACAAACAGAATACATAAAAAATAAGGACTTGGTGCAAAATATGAAGACGGCAATAGAAAATTAAGCTTTTAGTTTCTTCAAAAAAGAATTTAGTGCCGATTAAAAATAAATAAATAAATAAAAATTAAAAAAAACAGAAGTCTCTGTCGAGACTGTAGCTCTACTGGTTTGTACTTGTAACAAAGGAAGAGAAAAGTAGCAGTTGGACTTGAAACCTTGCAAGAAATAGAATAATGATCCTTGATTCAGTTTCTTTTTGTGACATGATTGCAAATCAGACTAAAACTGTAGGAGGAGTAGCCTTTTAAAAAAAAATTACAGAATTTTCTATTTTTAGTAAACATGGCAATACGATTGATCGAAATCAAAAAAACTGATATACAGAATTATGTATCTTAATGTGGTCTACTTGTGTGCCAAGTAATACTGAAATATATCCAAAACTGTAGGAGGAGAAGCATTTTATACTTTTTTAATAGAAATTTTTATTTTTTGTAACCATGGCAACACCGTTCATCGAAATAAAAAACCGATTGACAGAGTTATGTATCTTAGTGTATTCTCCTTGTTTGCCAAGTTGAAATCATGCAGACCCAAATTGTAGGAGAAGTAGCATTTTGAACAAGAGGCCCAAGAGCCTTAACGGTCACTTGAGTACAACAATTTAGAGGATCCATAAACTGATAAATGAAGCCCTTCACCCATAGGTGCTATATGCCAAAATTGGTTGAAATTGGTTGAGCGGTTTCAGAGAAGAAGCTAAAAATGTTCAAATGTTAACGCACGACGAACGCCGACGGATAGCAATAGGTCACCTGAGTGACTTAGATGACCTAAAAATTGTTTACTGACAGACGGACAGCTAGACAGGCAGCTAGAGGGACGGACGACGGACATCTTACTATCGCATAAACTCTTCTGGTCTCTGACCAGTAGAGCTAAAATAAAAAGACTTCTTGGATTAAGTCATGCAAATACATGTAAATCTGTTAACATTGTTTTTAAATCAGCTGTGAAACCATACAGGTCATCTGACAACTATTGTATGTTTCATTTAATGTGTTATGATGATGGTATTAAAGATTTGAAACATTTTACTGCAAATCGTGCCAATTACAAAAAATGAGCAGACAGGTACTTTGCATCCAGAAAATACAGCTCAGTAGGTAGAGCGCTCGTTCCGTGATCGGAAGGTCGTGAATTCGAATCTCCACCACGACTGACCTAAGTCGATAAAATAGGTAGCAACTGTTCCTTCGCCAAACGCTCGGCACTTCGAAGTGAAAGTTGCAGGCCCTTCGGATGAGACCCTAAAAACCGAGGCCCCGTGTCAAGGCAAGCGTTGGCACAAAAAAACCCTCACTACTCACCCGTACGAAACTCTTAACCGTTTTCCGCCTGGAGTCCGGGCGGACTGAGACGGATTCCGGTTAAGTGCTAGGTGGACTAAGCCGTACTAAAGGCGGACATGGAAAACGTCTTAGCTTTAACCGTTTTCCGCCTCATATCTTAGGTGGATTCCACCTTAAATCTGAGGCGTATTTTTGTTAGACGTTTTCCGGCTTAGCTCTTAGACGGATTCTGCATTAGTCTTTAAATTATGAACAGTTTAAATTATGACCACATGTTTCATTCCTCTAGATGACATTGTTTTCTAAAGGCACTAATGGGGGAGATATTCGAAAAAAAATAGTCAAACATGGCTTTTAATCCAGTTATTAGACTTTGAATATTAGGCTTTTTATTACATTTAAGATTGCGTTTCCTAGAGGAGTTATTTTTTTGCAGCCATATTGTATATCAGATATACGTTTCTAATGCGCTCCTGCATGACCACCCTCTACAGGGGGCGGAAGTTTTCAGGCAGAGCCTCTCTTTGGATGCATTGGTCAGTTTGAATGCAGATTTTGAAAGTGATGACTGTTGGTCAATTTGGTTGATGAATCTTTATATCTTATTCAGTTTAAAAAGGAACTCAGGCAAGATGTATGCCTGTAAATTAC